CTTGCAGCCAAACCTCCGAGCTCAGCGAACGTGGAGAACACCAAACTTAATCATAGCCATCTTGTTTTGCCTCTCTTTTTGAATCGTTGGATGTTTTATCGCTTTCCTCCCATTTGACTCTGGATGGTGTGGGATCGTTTGCAACTATTTCATTACAGTATTTCCGAGCCTGTTTGAACTTCTTCGACGTAGAATCACGGACTCTGTCCCGTCCATATAACCTTCGGGAGTCCGTGCATCGTGAGTGTATGTTGCATTATGACCTGGTGTGTTGTGCTAGGCTGTTGATCTGGGATTCTCTCAACTCATTCCAGCGTGCTGTGCTTAGTCAGCAGTATTACGTATTGATTACCCTGGCTGATTAACGAAAGCAATCCCATCACATTGATCGGCCATAGCCAACCAACTTCCGATGCCCGGAGAGGCAACACTGTTTGCTGGGTTCGTCAACCAGCTGTTTCTAGGAGTTGACAGTGCAGACAATAAGGTACATCTGGCTCGATATCTCCTAAGTGTACAGCCAGGAGGGCCTTATCTCAGCAAATCTTATGACCTAGTCTCAAAAGTGCGCGCCATTTCATGACAAGAAATCATCTTTGGCCGCCTCACGTTTGCTTCAAACACGAGCACTCACCTCCCATTTCCTCATTTCGTCTACATCAGGATGCCAGTCAAATTTGCATGTATATCACTGAAGTTCTCGTCAAGGATTATGTCAATTTGTTATGGTTTCTGCTCAGGATAGATTGAAGTATCACTCGTGGTATTTTCCACTTGCGCAAGAACATGTCAGGTCAGACGCCTAATGTCCCAGATTTTGATCCGGCAAAATGTTATTGATTCCCAAATTAATGTTGGATAGGTTAGCTTTTTTTTCAAGTGACAAAAGTTCGGAATTTGATTTTGCTTCATCGTAACGCGGTTCATCGTCAGATCATATTTCTAAACGTGTGGTGTCAATCGCACCAATTTCCCTCTGTCATTTAGCCGACGTAGTCCGTTTCCAAAATCTTGTGGTCAGTTTGGAAATGCAACCGTTGATCCAGCCGATGCTGCCAAATAGTCGCAAGACACTGCTTATCTTCTCCCGAGTAATTGTTTACTGCTGTTGCTAAACATTCGCTGCCTTGCTAACTTGTTTCATGTCTTAGCATCCAGAATGCTCCAAACCACTAATCACTTGCATCATGGCTGCCATGAATACCTCCCCGGCACCTATTAAATCCAGAGTCATGTCCTACTTTCCCGAATTCAGCCATGATACTTTGAGTACCTGTAATAAATGGAAAGTACCCCTCTTCTCTCAATAGTTCGTACACGTGACGCTCAGTCATCAAATTCCCCAAGGAATATATTCTAGCATCCCGAATATTTCAAAAATGTCCTGAGAGTGCACTTCGAGTTTAAGACGGGGATTCTCCAAAATCGTTGGCGTAATGGCTTAAGTTTGCTTTATCGCACCTGGTACTCAGTGGTGACATAAGTGTCCCACCAATCAGAGCGTTCGGTCCTTCCATAGGGAGCTGCGAATGCCGAAACTGTTCCAAAGTTGCTGATATATCTTCAACTTGTTTACACCACGATAAAGCAAGGTTGTAGCATATCCACAGTGCTAATGCATAAGGCTGTTAATGCAGCCAATATGTGTAAAAACTTATTTGACTACTTGACATGAAAATCCCCTTATACAGTCACGTTCTCCAAACTATTTGAGAGGCAAGCGTCATGTGCTACGAGATAAATGGAACTGCTGGTATGGCTTCCAGTCAGTTTTCCCGCTCTTGTCGTTTTGTCGACAGTTGTCAACATCCAGATCTCAAAGTCATTACGGTGAACATCCTAGAATATCACAGATTAGAAAAGATATCTGTAATCGAGAGGAATTCATTTACCCTTCAGAAGTCCATATGGAAGCTGTATCTCAATCTTTCTTTTTCAACAAAACCGCAGGAATTGTGTCGGGTATGCACTTCTTTGATGGCATATGCCTCCATCACATCCCATACCTGTGTTGTCACTTCAACATCATAATGACTGCGCCTCCTTTGATGTCCATCGGCTTAGCAGTATGTTGTACTCTGTCCGGACACAAAATTCACATGGACTGCTGTTGTCTGTAAGTAGAGGGTGGTGTGTTTCCATGAATGACCGCAAAAACGGGGTTCACATGTCACAAGTTATGTAACCGAGCACAAAGTGGTAGTTTTTCCAAGCCTGATGAGCGGCAAAGACTAGTACGCTGTCAACAGCTCCTCGTTTCAATTAGATGACAGCCTTAGTTGACTCAAATAAATCTTCGCCTAGGATTCTCTATATTGCGTTTTGTGACACGATAGAAGCAGGACACGACGTTCACCTCCAAGTTCAATATCACGCTCCTGAACATAATTTTTGCATACTTCGGAGCCACAAACAACCACCCTAATCCTGGGACACACCACCCAGATGGCTGCGCAGAGACACTGCAACGCGCGTGTCAATCAAGCTCTGTCCCATCGTATTGATAACTTCAATCATGGCATTAATCATTCGCTAATTCAGCGACTCTAGTGCCCATTCTTCCATCACAGAAAAAAGATGCATTTATTTAGCACAATAGGCGTGGCATAAATCGCCCGGTGGCCGAAAGCATTGCACGCCTGGCTTGCAATCATCAAGTCGTTGGTTTAAATACGCATAAGGGCGGGCGTCCTCGCGGTATACTCAGCGTACGCATGACCGGTGGTGCTCGCGTGGCAGCGAAGCTTCGATACAGTGTGACGGCGTACTGCTGATGACTTTCTTTTATTGTAGGCGCAGCATCCTTTGCCTGCCATCATGTCTTCTAGTGCTCCGCTTTTTCACATGGAAGGCGGCATCTTCTAGTTCGCCCCTGCTAGGTGGACCACAATGCTTGCTTGCGCCTTATATGTACTGTACCGTCATCCGCTTCAGTCTATTTGTTCGATTTGCGCCTCCTCGATGTTCTGTTTCCAAGGCACCCAGTAGCTATTTGCCCAATCTATGGATCACCCTAGTAAACTCCTACGCACACACCCCCCTGGCTGCGTGTGAAATGCTCTGTGCTCTCAAGAAATACGTCGGCCAGGAACTAGACCACCTATTGCTGCTGCGTAGAACGTTGCCAAACCTGGGGTAATGTGAAATCCAACACGTCCTGGACACGGACAGCGAAAAGGAGGGGATCCACCCTCCACCAAAGCCGGGTTGCCTCAAGCGCCCGCATCAACTACTGGCTGCTTACCGGACTGTCGAATCCGGCAATCGACGCGTCCTTCGCGACAGCACAACCTGTCCTTATAGATCCCTACGCAGCACCTTTAAAACCTCATTTTTTGGAGGTTCTACTAACCAGTCAGATTCACTTGGTCGGTTTTCATTTGGAGTGCCTACCCAATGCTGTCGAAATTCTCCAGGAAGATAAGAATAGTAGGCGTTGCTCGCGGATCTCCGTGACATAATGATAAGGACGTCAGCCGTGAACCACTAGGATCTGAGCACCAACTCAGCTCAGTCAATCTTCACCTGATGAGTCCAAAGCAGGACGAAACCGCGGTCTTGGTGTGTCTGTGTTGGGAGCAGCAACAACGAAATGCTTCCATAAGCATACCATCTTCCTCAATAAACCAGGGGACTTTCATATCATTCCTTGACAGGTCATGAGACCACTGCAAAACCCAAGGGATGAGAAAAGTTACGCATTTTTGCAACTAACATCCATCCATTCATCTAGGTAGATATACCTGAATGCGGCCTACGGCATTCCTACTCTAGGCATCCACCAAACACGGCTTTTGCCTTTCTTCCTAGCGCACAGTCATATGACGCCTCCGGGGTTACGCCTGTGCCAAGAATTTGAATTGACCCACGATTGACTCATTACGATTCTGTTTACTCGTCACATTATGGCATCAACGAGATGCATACATTACTGAGAAGAGTCTAACTCACATGTTTGAGGCTTAGCCATTTTCCACATGACTTTATCACTGATAAGTAATACTTCCTCGGTTTATGGATTGGCGGTATCAAAAATTTCTTGAGGGCTGCCATGAAGCAGAGAGCACGACGAATCATTATTGAACGTTACTGCTAATATTTATCAAACACGACAGTGCTAGCCTGTGAGCACCCTCATTTAAAAACGGCGGCATAGGAATGCACGTTACATGCTTCGCTTGAATGGAATGGTGCGGGTTGGACGTACTGTGCAACAGCGTACCTGTCAGACTGTACAGCAACCACAGTGAGGTGATGGTGACCTTGCTAATGAGGTTATATCTACAGTGTAACTCCTTGGATGCTGACATTCTAAAGCTATGCTGAGAGACATACACACAGCTGCCCTCTGTGGTTTTCACTATTGACAGTTGCCTTGTTTCGCTATTAAATTTATGCCCATAGCTTGTGATAGTTCTATCGAAGCACATCAGCAACCCAACTTCCCTATCACTGAAATGAACCTGAGCTAAAAACAAGCAAACTTACGAGGGTACTCTTTCCTTGAACCGGCGCAATGAAATACTGGTATGATTAGAAGCCGATAGTAAACAGATCATGGAATAACCTTGCGCACTACCAAAATTCAAACACATTTGCTATTGACAATGCTTGAGTGGCTAGAGTGTAAATGGAGCAAATACCTTGGTCACCGCAAAATGACTACCATTCACGGGACACATTCACAGACAGAGATGTGGGAGTAAACTACAGTAAACCCATAAATGTAATCTCTACCGTTGCCAATAGAGGCTTGTTACGTTTGCAGACACAAAATCCTCTCACATGAAGGTACGGACGAAGGGCGTTACACATCTGAACTATATCCTCTATTATAGGCAAGACAGTTTTGGGCGTACGTTCTACTTCGGCGGATCACTCTCAAGGGGCTAACTTTTTGGATAGTTCACTGAAAACAGTCTAGAACACAATACGCATATGTGTGACAGACTGTGGTTTCTCAGTAGGTTGAAGTTGTGCTGGGCGTGATGCGGTGGGATTCAGAAGTGCGGATAAGATGTACCATAAAAAATAACTAACCTCAGGTGTCTACCGCATAAGTGGCATTGGAGGCAATCGAAGTGATAAAATCGTCCATCCAATGGTATGAAGGTATTTGGATGTGTCAACTCGTTACACGCAACGCATGTAGGCAATTCTTGTGTTGGTTTCTTTTCCTAATTGGATACATAATAAACGTGGGCGGTGATGTAATTCAAGGAATTAACTCGTTTACGCCACAGTGGGATAGCACAATTCAATGTACCACGGTCGATTCATTATCCAACGACGACTAGAGAATCAACACATTTTTGACACACTTTCACCAGCTCTCACCCATCGGGACCTGGTCACCGCGTATATGACTACTCTATAACGCTGACTTTGATTCAATTTACATGGTTCACAGGGAATCCGCTGCGATGGCCAGCTGGTTTTACCAAGTCACTAACTTGCTTTTGCTTCGTCAAAGGTTACAATTTCTAATTAAACGTGTGACGAGATGTCACCAGGTACACAGGATAATATGTATACTACCTATGAAAAGCTTATTCTTCCGATGAAGAGCAAAATGAGACTAAAAAGTGCGAGGTAAACTAACCACAAAAGAATAGCTTTTGTGCTCCCGGGGGTCAGGTAGGAGAGGTTGTTGAGTATTATTTTTGCCTTGTTAATCCAATCATGAATATTTTAGCACCAGGCACACGCAGTTGTTGGGTGCATGGTGAGGTTCATTGGCACTGACGTCTCAGCTAATGTTATGCATAAAATAAAGTAAATTATGAACAACGAAATAGTTCCTAATTTAGATAGTAACGGACTTCCGACAAATAGGAACACCAGTACCGTCAGCTCAAATCTCAGCTGCGGTGTAAACGCTGGTCTGATAAAAGTCAACTAGCAAGACACTTGGTGCAGCCCATGAAAAAGAAGAGGTGGCCACTAGCACAAATCAGCCGTATCAAATGAACTTCTACTTTTAAGGGAAGATTCACGGCAGAGGTAATTAACGGTTGTTCGAAACTGGCCAAGCTGCCACAGTTAAAGCAGAAAACCAGCTACACCAAGCTTACTTTGACTACTTGTGCAAAGTACTGGAAAGCTGACACGATACGGCTGATATCAAGTAAATAATCGTGACAATTGTATCCGTTTGTGCAATCAGTAGGGTATCTCGTACGTAACTGACTAGGTGGATTACAACCAAGCATTTGACACTTCCAATAAGATTACTACGTCGAGTATTAGGCATCGGATAAATCCTGGGGGTTCTTGAGGCATAGAAGGTAAAACAAAGACATTGTTGGGAGCATTGTCGACATTCGTGATAAGGAACTGAAATCTACTTCATTCAGCTAGGTGAAATATTCTCATCTACGTAACAGATGTGTATCCGCTGGTTACTATACTACTCAATGAACCGTGACCTTAACGCCATAGACGGGACAATGTTTCGGAACTACTGAGTCAAAATCGATGCCTTCAGTCTCCGAAGAGGTGATGGTACTCAGCTTCTCGCAGAAGCACAGCAACGGCCCGGGACAAATACACATTCTCATGGACGCAAGGTATGCATACTCTGCTCCTGGGTCTAACCAAAATAAAAGGATACTGCAGCATCTATGACGGTGGCAAAAGATTGAAAGCGGTTATCTAGTCCGATTGGCTTTGTATGACATAGAAACATATGTGCAAAATACACACGAGCAAATTAATAAATAAACGGTATATTATTTCGTGGTGCGAAGCATAGTTCGACTATGTGGTCCGATCAATGTGTACAGCAGGATCGCACAAAATATGTACCTGTTCATGCTTTATACAATGGATCTAAAATGGATATAAAAGTAGTTCCCAAGTTTAAGGTATAAAAAAATTGAAAAGCCTGGAACAATTGCGATGGCGTCCTCAAGGCCAATGCACTGTGACCTTTCTATTCGTTGCTTGCATCCGCTAAGGAGTGACAGTAACCCGCTCATCCGTTTATCGATTGGCCTAGTATAGAATAGTAGATCAATGCGTTGTACAACCTGCCGGTTAGAATACAATTTTGACTTCCATGTGCCTGACGTGTTCTCCTTTGTCATACTTCGGCTAAGAGCCAGCCACGGTGCGTTAGCTCCGCAATCGCTAAACTGTGACATTATGGCGACGAAGATTAAACTTGATATACTTTACTATGAGTCATCTTAACCCGCCTGATCCCTTTCGGAAGAACACGTCTTCCAAGCCATCCTTAGCAGTTTAGAATCGTTGGAAACGGACCTACTGTGACTACCTTTAGTTTTTCACAATTGCACTTCCCCACATCAAGCTTAGGGAAAGCCAATCTATCAAACTACTGAGACAACACGGTGCAGATGTTCAACGGCATTTTGATGCGTTGCGTTTGTACGAAAGCACATCCCTGACCAACTGTTTTAACGCCCTGGAAGGCCTTTAAGGACCGCGGCAACCTGTTTTCACTGCGATCCTGAGTTTTTCTCATTTACAACAGGGAGAAGAGGGGAATGTTAATGAATTCATCAGTCATATACAACAGTCCCTTCCTGACTGCCGTTACAATGCAATCCCCGCAACGAAATTCGAAGAGACGATGACGGTGCAATACCTTTTGTTTGGCATTTGAGATGTTAAAACTAGAGAACGCCTGATGTCAGAAGATGAAGCTAAACTCACTTGGGAAACGGCCTGCTCAATTGTCCGACAACAATTTGTTCAGTATCAACACGATTTTCCTTCAGATGTCATCCATGCGGTCAAATATCGACTATCACCGACCAACAAATGCTCTTTTACGTGCTACAGATGTGGTGACAAGCATGAAATTGTTACTGCCTGCAAACACAAACAGTCTATTTGTCATAAGTGCGGAAAGGTCCGATATTTTGCACGCGTATGTCGTTCGACTATGCTCCAAAGGCCGATACTCCGCCCAGCCCAGGGTACTGTGCAAACTATAGCAAACACTGACGATCCCATATTCTATCTAACTTTGCACACAAACACATCGCACGCAATGGGAATACCCCCGTACACCGTTTGCTTAAAACATTGAAGGCCAGCCAGTACGTCTGGAGATCGATAGCGGGGCCACGGTTACATTGATCACCAACCGAGGTTTGCCCGGCCTGGTTCTGACTCCGACTCAATGTAAATTACGATCATACACCGGGGCAATACTCGATGTTTTGGGTGGGTGTGACGTGAAAGTAAATCATGGTGACAATACGTTGACTCTTCCCCTAATTGTTGTTAACACAGAAGGACCTAATTTAGTTAGGAGAAGCTGGTTAAAGCAAATTCAGGAAATATTACAATCTGTCAAGAAGTTGGACAGTTTTTCTGTCTTACCTACACACCTGAAAAGCTTTTCCAATCTTTTTGATACAAGTATGTCTGGAAAATTACGTGCATTCAACGCTTGCTTGAATATTAAGCCACAGACTCAACGAAAATTTTACAAAGCACGGAATCTACCTTTCGTAATCCGTTTGATGGTAGAGTTAGAGTTGAGCGATTAAAAAAGGACGGAATAATTTCACCCGTACGCCACTCTACCTTGGCTGCCCTTATCGTTCCCGTACAGACACCTGATGGCTTAGTTCGCATTTGCGGCAATTATAAACTGACGGTTACTCAAGTGACGACGACGGAACCTTATCCGATTCCACGAATAGATGACCTTTACGCAACTTTGTCGAGTAGACAAAGTTCGCGAGGCTTGATTTAAGCCATGCTTATTCTCAAGTGGACCTACAGGAATCATCATAGGAAAGTACTACCATAAATACGCACATGGGATTACTCTGCTATAACCGATTACCATTCGGGATACACTCCGCGCCGGCGATCTTTCAGAGAATTATAGACAATGTATTGAAAGACATACCCGGAATTTGCGCTTCGTTGGACAACTACGAACATATGACAAAACTTGGAACAAACTTAAAACGTCGTCAGGAGAGCGGACTGAAACGCCAGGAACCTAAATGTGTCTTCTTCTGTGCTACAGTTGAGTAGTTGGGATTTTGTTTGGACAAACACGGGTTACATCCCCTACGGGAAAAATACAACCCGATTCTGGATTCTTCAACACCCCGAAATATTAACGAACTGCCATCATTTCTTGGGATGGTAACCCATTACACTCTTTTCGTACCAGAGTTGGATTTTTTCTCGCAGTATTGTATACTTTATTTCGTAAGAATACCAGATGGCTGTGTTCCAACGAACTACAAAAAGCTTACGACGGTGTCACATTCGTTATTAGTAACGCTAACTTGCCAGTGCATGATGACCCAAATAAGCCGATCACTCCTCGTTGCGATGCGTCACCCACAGGGCTCGAGACCGTACTGTCACACCAGACGGACGACATGATAAATCGACCAATAGCTTTTGCGTCCATAAGTTTGGCACTAGTGGAAAAGAACTACACGCTGCACGACAGGGAAGCTTTAGCGGTTATCTTTAGATTCAAGGAATTCCACCAGTAACTGTGGGGAAGGAAAGTCGAAATCTTTACTGGCAACAAGCCTTTGATAACCCTGATTGGTGAAATAAGGCATAAACCCGAGGACGTCACCTCGTATGCAATGATGGGCTTCATTTCTCTCCGCTCGAAGTTACAAGATGGTCTAGGTCCCTTGGAAAGCAAATAGAATGGCGGATGTTCTGAGCCGTTTGCCGTTGAATCACCTACCAGATTGTATACTTAAACCTGTGGAGCTTGTCCATCTGCTGCAACAGTTGGGCGGAAATTCGGTGTCAAATGCAGATAACCGTAAGGAAAAAAACGGCATACATTACTGGGCAAAGTCAAGCGACTAGTCTCTCAAGGTTGGCCTGACAGCTGTGAACCGCAACTACTGCTGTACTTTATCCGACGCACGGAGCTCAGCCGCGAGGATGAGTGCTTGCTATGGGGCTCTAAGGTGGTTATACAACCACGTTAGCGACAGAATGTCTTACAATAACCACTAAACGTACCCAGGAATCACAAGAATGGAAGCATTTACACGATCCTATGTGTGGATGCCTAATATTGACAGAGAGATTTTGAAGAGTTGATCCGACACTGCAAAGTGTGTCAAAGCACTCAGAGGAATGCTCCTCCTGTACCCCCTAGTCCTTAGAAATGCCTCAGTAAACCGTGGGAACACACGCGCATTTCTTTTTCCCGTTAGACAAAACAAATGTGTCTCCTCATGTTTGATGCACACTTGAAGTGGATAGAAATTTTTCCAGTTGTACATGCTACATCTGAGAGGACCATTTCTTGCATGCGGACGTATTTCACTACCTTCGGTAGACCACCTGCGCTGATAACAAACAGCGGTTCCGTATTTATTAGTGAATCATTTCAAAAGTTCCTCAACAACAACGAGATACATCAGGTGAAATCAGTCCCCTACCACCCAGCTTCAAACCGACCGGCAGAAACAGCCGTCCAGACGGTCAAGAAAGGACTAGGAAAACAAACCACTGCTCCACAGCGAACAACGTTGGACAAATTTCTTTTGGGCTAACGCACCACGTCAAACGAAACTTCTGGGAAGAGCCCAAGCGAGTTGATGTTCGGACGGAGGTTGAGGACACGGCTGGGTCTTCTGTTTCCTGATCAGAGGCTGGTTGTCTAGGCTAAACAAGATAAGTCTAAGGCAGAGTACGACCAGAAGGCCTTCGAAGATTCTGCGAGAATTATCCGGTCTACGTCAAGTTGCCCAACAAAACGACCTAGCAACCTGGAGAATGGCGCAAAGTTGTGGGACAACATACGGAAGGGGATTTACCTGATAGAAGAGTACTTACTCGGCACACGGCTCACGTCCATCATCGTTCCGTTTTAGCTCCGCCAGATGAAGCGTCTTCAAATCAGAAAACCGAGTTAACAAACGCACAGTACTCAAAATTCTGGCTAACCGGAGGTTTAACAATGTCGCCGTTCAACTCGGCTACGCCGACCCCTTGACCGATACCAAGTTAGCTGGAGTGGTTCAAACTAAAGGGAGAAGGAATGTGGCATCCTCATGGCCAATATACTTAGCCATTTCTATTCGTTGCATGCATCCTCTGGCTTGTGTCACTAACCCGCTTACCCATTTATCGGTTGGTCTAGTATAAAGTAGTGGATCAGTGCATTGTACAACATGCCGGTTAGAATACAGTTTTGCCTTCCATGTTTTCCTTTGTCATATTTCGTCCAAGAGCCATCCACGGTACGTTAGTTCCGCAATTGTTAAACTGTGACATTTTGGCGACGCAAAATGAGTCCCATTGGTCTATGTTTATCTAGTTATAACTTACCCCGCAATGTAATGGCGGTAGATTCGGGGACATTTGAGCATACAACAGTCCGGGCAAAATTGTTGGATCGCTTTTTCGTTAAATAACAAGGTAGGGTACTCGTATTCCTGACCTAACGACAATTCTTGATTGTTTTCTGTTTGCCCCTCCATTCGCATTAACGGTGTTTACAACAGAAGAGGTCAAAACGGTGGCCTATCGGCTTACCTTTGCAGCAATCTCTGCATAGGTAACTGAGGTTCCGGTGGGGGCTTTGTTTCAACAAGAGACGTTTAAACTACCGATACCGAGGATTAGTGTTCGGCTACTTCATCCTGGTTTTTGTTCCAGGTCAGGTCGATTGGAATTTGCCTAACTAGACGTATCGAATGGTGCCTGATTTTCGTTGTCATGAGTATTGTTTAACTCTTTTAGGTATGGTCAGTTTTCACACGGCATACTGCCAAATTTGGAGAAGAAAACGGAGATGAGGACATGTGTCTGATTGCGGTTCAGGGGAAGTAAATTCCGCAGCGGTCCGTTGCTTAGAAGCCGCTATGCTTCACTGTTGCATAATCGCTTCCATTGAAGTAATCTTATCGTTCATCCTCTGTTGGGCCTCTGCGGTTAAATGGTCGCACATCTGGACTAGGACAAGCAAGCACTTAACGAGTGAGATGGTCGAGCACGCAGTACAGAACAAATGAGCATCTTGTGAGCTATTTCGCACTCGTACCTGCTGTTGGGACACGTTAGCACATTTCGGATGATACTATTCCAAGCAGTGCGAGCTAGTCAGGCCGATTTTAACATCCGCGTTTTACTTGGAGCCTTTTCGGATTTGCATTGCTGCTCTTCAACATAGTGTCGTTGCCTAACAAAGTGGGTTGGTTGGCGTTTTGTACGTTTCCAGCTTTGAGTGGGGGCCACATTATTCAAGCGAGTGTTGTGGTCGCTAGGTCAAGTGAACGGTCGGCGTGGTCGTGCGGTCCGTGGGATGGGTTATGCAGGCGCACTGGCTGATCAAGTCAAAAGGAATGGCGAATGACTGGAACCGGTTAACTGAATCTGAACACAACGCTGACCACAGATTGAGAGATTACAAATTCTTTCACAGCTGCGTTGAGAAACGCCGGATTGGAAGAATCTTAGGATTTCGGTTTGTCTCAAGAATTCGGTATCGAATGATGTCACACAGAAAGCAGTGGGCTCAAAGTTTGATTTATCCGCTTGCGCTTAATCCCGGATGACCGTAAAAACAGTTAGTGATAGCACGGAATTTAATCGTAGATAATTCCACGTATGATGGATCACTGGGTAAGGCTGATAAATCCGGTTCGAATGAGCGTACTGTGACAACGCTGTGAGAAGATGGAAAGAGGATAAGGCGAAATAATCCAAATGACCTAGAAGCACGCACGTCACGCGAATGGTTTGCTTCGATGACCGTTTCCCTCGGGGGAAATACGTCACAATTTTGGGTAGAAGAAACTCCGCTGCTCTGATAATTTATCCATTTTGGCTACCGCTAAGCGCAATGGATGCCTATTGCATGGAAAAGTGGAGTGACTAATTTTGGTACTTTGTTTGACGGGGGATTTAACTCTGATGAATTTGTCTTAGTAGGCCTAAACTCCCATTCGCGTTCGTTTCCATGTTGTGGCTGTCTGACGGGACACGGCCATGGTAAACATATTTCACACTGATCAGCACTCCTCATAGCGCCCCCACAAAGAATGTGTTTAAAGCAGTGGACTGCCAATTTTGTCACTTAAGTTAAATGTTTTGATTTCGAAGGCTGCAGTGTAAAAATTTTGGGGCGACGTGTTTGGGAATTCCACAATCATCAGTTAATCACGTTATTCGAAATAAAAATCAAGCTCCAGAGAAAATAGGAAAATATCCATTTCGTTGTTCTCCCTGATGAAGTGGCTCTCCATTTGGGCAGCTTTTCATATCGTGATAGAATCAGATGTCAACATCTCTGGTCTACCAACGATTCCGTGCTTCCGGCAGTATCATTGGCAGCGCAGTTGCTACCTTGCTACCGACGATACTGACTTTTTTTTACCTGCACTTCAACCGTATGATTCGTGGTTTCATAAGCATCCATGTGACTTTGCGTGAAACTGGTACAGAACTCAGGTCAGCAACACAGAGCCAAGGGTGATCTTTGGAAAGATGTTCTCATGCTTATGAGCTATTTGATGCTAAAACTGAGAGTTTCGTCACTAAAGCTTCCAAAGCCGCAGTCCTCCAGATACAAGGAAAGGCACTAGACAGCCGCTTTGTCCTATCGGGATTCGTCAGTAGTGCACATTAGTCAACCCCGTCAGCACTTTAACTTATAACTGATAGCGGCTTGCAACTCTAGCCAGTAACTTATGTAACTGAGCCAAGGATGACCAAGTAGAACCATCACTAGTTACAAGCGATTTTGAAATGATATGACTCATCCACCACCAACGAAACGGCCGTCTAAGGCTTTTTCGTGTGTGTGAAGGACTGTCTGATCTGGAAGCTGCCACGAGGAAACCCCTCAATAAATTAGCAAGAATACATCATCCAGATTTCGATTGCACCTCCCAATACAATCATAGAACTCGTGTTTCAGAATTACCCTCCAACCAGTCATTAACCGCTGGGTCAAGTTTTGCCGATGGGCGTGCCGTTTGCCGACGACAGATGTAAACATACCTGCAGCTTCTCTCTAGCTACACGGCTTGCAATTTGGTTGCAAAATAGGTGGTGAGCGTTCACATTTCGACCACTACATGGGATGAACATTAAATCTAAGAAAAGCGATGATGGCATTTGCATGCCATTCGCTCTCCGGATGTTAAACTAGTATACTAGCAGGCGTATGCTGTGTTAAAGAGAGAAGCTCCTGAAACAGAAATATTATTTGTCTGCACCGTAGTATGAGTAGTTAAGCGGGGAAAGGAAGTTTAAGTGAAGTACAAAATTAGGACCTAATTTTGGATTCAAAAACCAAGCACCAGCATAAGATACTCACCCAGGAATTCGGGTTCGGCTGTTTCGAGTTCGTTCCCATCATCACTGGCGCCCTCATTTGCATTAGCGGGATGCTGAATTCAAACTGAGCACAATCATTTTACAAAGAATAAAAATAAAGCACTGTGTATATGGTGAGTTGAGCATTATTTAAATCGTTTACTCATATTTTGAAGCAGCCAGTTGGACTAACGTGGATATATCATACGTTTTGAGGTGATCCTAATCTCTCTGCCCTCCTGTTGTGGCTCGCATGCTGTCTGAAGGTTATTCCGTCACCGTCATCCGCCTCAAGTGGAAGTACTATTAGTACTAGAGACTCAGGATACCCAATGGATGGACCAACGGAGATCAGATACGCGGTTGCTAACTGCTCTTTTATTCGAACACTCGGCGACCTGGATGTGTCCATAAGATATCTTTTTACTTCAACCCTTTACGTGGTATTCCTCCTTGCCCAAATGGTGGCTCATCCTTCGTTGCAAGCTCGCGTGAATAGGTGTTCAGCAGAAGAGACAAAACGAAAACGATGGATACTATTTTGTTTAAAATTTTGTTGCACATTACAGCATGTCCATTTTGATCACGTGCAGCGTAAAATGCATGTGAACTTAGTTCTTTACATAACGTGGCTTAAACTAAGGTGGTTCACACACAGTAGCTGTTGATTTTAACAGATGATAAACTTTCTGTCATTAGATGGAACTGCAGCGATCAAATTGCAAGTTTAACGGGGTAACTTTAGCATGATATTGATGTTATCAAAGCGTCAACCTATCCAGAGCAGAACCGTACTCCAAGCTTATACCAGTAAGCAACATCTAGGCAGGAATCTAGATGTTCGGATATTTGGGATCATTACAGAAATCTACATATAACATGAAAACAAAACGCGCATTGAAATTAAATAAGAAACGCACTTGTCTCCTGCTGCTTGATCGGAGAGACGATGTTCTTCGTCTTGATTCCCTGAACTCCGCCACTAAGTAAAATCGTTTTGAATGGAAAAAGCGCAATTAGTCGATGCTGACAAACAAAACTTTTCCAGGCAAAATAGCATTAATGTGCAACTACAGCTAAGTTATATTACCCTTATTGTTCAATGTGGATATCAGCAAAAGATTTACTACTACTCTTTAAAATTTAGTTAGGGAGCTTCTGGAACTCAACTTTGTGTAAGACTAGGCGTGTTTCACCTAAAGACAAAAAAGAAAATTCTTCATGCACCTTAGGAGGGGCAGTACGTAGTGGTGGTTAACGGAAGCCATCAGAACTGCTGATCAGGTTGTCGGTAATTTGATAACGGTGACGCTACCTTTATGGCGACAGTAGATCATTTTAGTCTAGTGATTGAAGACATATAGTTAGCAGCATCGGGTTACGGATTTGCCCGTCATTGTGGCCTCCTTGGTACAGCCACAGGACGTCTGTGCCTACAGAGGGACCATGGGTTGCTTGCGCTGCACCAACCACAGCTCCATCCACACACCTCATATCTAGTGTAAACCCGAAGGAATAAGACCGGTAGGTATGTAGATGGGAGCCACGTTTCATCAACGGAGCAGGCCCACACTCCTTCGCAGGCAAACACAAGTATGCTCTATTTGAACAATCAACCGCACACAAGACGGTGACTGTACCGTAGTCCGCTCCACACTGACTGCATGGAACCACTCTTCAAGCCTAGCACGGCCACAAGAACTGTACACACCGTCCTCTCCATCAACGACCAACTCTCTCATGGAACCAGTATAGACGAGGTAGTGGGTAATCGACATCAAGCGTATCCACACTGACGATGTCAAACAGCAGCTAGTTACATGAAAGAAAATGCCGAAACAAATAGATCTAATACACTGTACGGATATGCCGTTAAATTAGCATATGAAATCCATGTATTATACAAATAGCTGTCGTAGATTCACGATAGCAGAAATAGGGATCAAGACACATACGTAAGGAGGGTAAAAATAGGCGAAGTTAACCCCTGTATTTTAAGTGAAATGCGCAGTTTAATAGCTTATTCAGGTACACACTAAAAGTAGGTAAAAATACTAAGACAAAGTACCAACCCAACCACCTGCAATAAAGAAACGGCATGCAAGCACGCTGTTAGTAGCTCGAATGCAGCGTACCTACCAGCGTTGCGCTGCTTACCTTCTCAGCAGCACCCGTCATCTCTTCGGTGGTGGCCCCGAGTGGCCTCACTCGTGGTTCACTAGGCCTGCCTGACTCAGGCACCGCGACCGCATGTGCAATAGCATCATGCGCGCGATGTCGATGGAGTACAACCCATTGGCACCTGTCGTTTCCGTACTTGCTGCTTCCTCTCCGTAAACACGACGGCTTTCCTTGCACCTCGGCAACTGCCTTCGTGATTAGATCGCGCTATGCACGCCTAGCAACCGCCTTCGATGCCATCGACCTGCAATCAGAATTAGAACGTGAGAGGCTCACTTTGATCATGTCCTGGTAACGAAAGTTCAGTTTTACCACTGCCGTTTCCTTGCACTCAGATGGCCATAAAGCAGCTGTTTTGATATCCGGGTCGATTCCATGCGGCGAATATGCCCGAGGCACCGCAGCTGCCCCAACAAAATCATGCCGTCCACTGCATACATGACTTTAAGTTGGAGCACATCCGTGTCTGCAACTCTGTCACTCCAGCCGATGCGCATTATACAGCTCAGACACTGCTGATGGAATCGCTCCAGGTAACGGACATCCTTCCGATAATGCGTTCAGCTTTCGCTGCGTATAGATGAACGGACAGCACCATAGTCTTATATACCAGCATTTTCGCCCCAACAGCGAGCTATGATTGTTCCACACACGGTATTTCGGCTTGTCAAAAGCAAAAGCCGCCTTCGATACGCGGCTGAGTAGCTCGCTCGTCGTCTGCTGGCCCGTTGCTATTACACTACAAAAGTAGCAAAATCCCGATGTGATTTCCAACACTTAGTCGGAAACCTGGATTTAGGGCTGGCCCATGGACCCCATTCCGGGTGAAGGCTGGAAAAGACAAACTGTCTTGCTTGTGTTGATGGTGAGCCCGAATTTGCCCGCTGTGGAATCCAGAGCACTAGTCATGTGCTGAAACTCATCCGCGCTTTGTGAAAACAACGCACAGTTGTCAGCGAACCGCAGCATACGAGTAGTAGTTTTACAGACTAGAGTTCTCGCACCGAAACGACGGATGTTCAGCAACCCACCATCAATACGGTGCTCCACACGAACACCGTAAGCACAAGCGGCATCAAAAGCGCATTATGGAATGAAGAAAAATATTAAACAGGGCAGGATCTAAGACACAGCCATGCTTCACATCAGAGACAACTGCAAAGTCATCCGAGGTCTCTCTACTCAGCTACACCCTCGCTCGCATGCCGCTGTGCAGACATTCAAGTAAACTTACAAACTTACGCGGGCAACCAAAGTTACCTAACACCAGCCAAAGTGTGTCACGGTTCACCATATCAGATGCTTCGGTGAAGTCAACAAAAAGCGAGTACGAAGGCTACTCTTGCTCTCTACAATTCTCCTGCAACTGAAGAGCCGCAAACACCATATTTATAGAGCTGCCACCCGAACGGAATCCACATTGCTCTTCCGCTACGTGAGGTTTCACAACCTGACTGATGAGGCGGTTGAGCAGGATTCGGGCAATTACCTTTCTCACAAAACGCAGCAAGCGGAGGCCAAGCTAATCCTTGCAACGTTGCTTGCTCCCTTTGCCCTGGTGCATTGGCAGTACAAAGACGTGGTTCAGCTCAGGAGGCACCTCCTTCTCAGTTCACACGAGTTGCATGAAGTGGTGCAGCACATTCACAAAAGCAGGTACACGGTGTTTCCATACTTCAGGCCGGATCCCTTCAACACTGACACACTTGCAATTTCGCAGCTAAGCAATTGTTCTCTGCGTCCCATCCAGTGTCGGTGTGTCCGGCACACTAATCTTTACTTCGTGCTGCTTGAAATCGTTCAAGGTAGGCCAGTCAATCTCTGGAAGGTTGTTTAAGAGGCACTCAAAGTATTTTGGTCAGATCTGCATTATGTCCGTAGTCTGTGTTTATGCGACAAATGCGCTTGGGGGCTCGAGTTACACCTAAAAGCCCCCGCATCCAACAAGGAAAGGAAGCCGAGATGTTAACTACGTTACTATTCAAATAGTAACTAAAATACAATAGGCACATACCTCGAAAATGCCCGAACAGTTCCGAAACAACCGGTTTTTACAATGTCTAAAAGGAATGCAAATGGTACTTGTCACCTTACATAAAGTGTCACATGATACCAAGTCTATCACCGGACTATACCCTTTCTGTTTTTGTTCTGTTAACCCTTGGCTCATTGGTTCGTTAGGCAGCGTTTGAAAGGGAACACGAAGGGCTGGGCTTGGCTCAGTCCAACAGTGTGGGGTGCGAGGAACATGGAGGTGCGTATGTCTGGGGCGGGAGGATGCTGCAAGTCTAAAGGGGTATGTGAAGGATGGTCTGGACGGGTTGCACTGTGTGCGATAACGGTTGCCATGGTGTGAGGTGAAGTCATAGCAGCATCGATATGCGATCAGCTGGAGGATAATCGGTAAGCCGGAGCTCATCAATTGGGGCAGGCGTCCGCTTTGGTCATCCGGACTGAGACCCCAACATGCGGCTTGCTAATTACATACTACTTGTGTCGGTTGGCATATAACTATGACATATAAACTGGGTGAGCGGACAGATGGTAGGAGTAAAGAATTAGATCATGTTATTTCTTTTGTGGATTACCGAACACGTACGTCGGGAGGGCAAGTAACCATAGGCGTAGGGTGAGTAAACAAATAGTTGGTAGAAATTTAGGGCCAGTCCGCATTATCCATCTTGCGAATTGCCTGGTAAATTTAACGCTAATAGTCCGTCCCAAGTCCAGAGCATTTGCCTTGCCTTGATCCTCCATAGGTTTCTCACTCTGTTTCGCCCTAACCCAGCTCCATCCGTTATGGGAGCATTACAGGGCTTACAACGGTACGCATGCACTCTTCCACTTCGGTCCGTTGAACTCACAGGGATCCTACCTGGAGCAGCAACTCCGTAGATCCACCTCCCACTTGCGGAGGGTGAATAGCCAGGACTACATCATCTTCCCCGTGGTAGCCTTCCAGTAAACATTTTTTATTGCATCTCTCGTAAGTATACCGTCCTTTGTCTTCACAACTACAGTCTGAATTAAAACATTCCCTGAGGCTACTTACCCCTGATGGCTAATGCCCGCATTGCAATGCTTCCGAGACAAATAGCACAACGTCACCACGCCTAAAATGCCGTTCGGCTCGCATCTGCTTTCCTCTCTGATGCAGTATCAGCAACTACACTGTGGCCCACTGCTTCCAAAATACCGATGTCATATGGCTCACTTGCTTCCAGCGTTGGGTTTAACATTTCGGCAGCGTTGACGGGCATCAGCTGTCCCACGTTCTGCTGCAGCAGTAATAGGTCGTTTGTGTCAGTGCTGGTTGGTTACCAGTGTCCGTAGTAAGTGGGACTATTGGTCAACCATGGAGGATACGCTCAGCTTCTGCGAGAAAGGTAACCAAATTTTTCATCCTTAAGAAATTGCTGACCAGAACTTGAAAGCAGTGTGCTTCTAACGGATCTTTTCATTCTCTCCCAAAAGACACCCCGATGACATGCAGACGAATCGTTTAAGTGTCACTGGATGTTCCGACTTAAAGGTTTGGCATCGATATTACCTTTTTTCCAATTCTGTATTGCTTGAATCATTTCCTTAACGGTACCAACCAATTTCGAACAGTTATCACTAAAATGTTCCCCTGGGGGCCCTCTTCTGGCAGCAAATCTTATGAGTGTCATGTTGAATGAATCGGTACTAATTGTGTGAGAGACCTCCATATGGAGAGCCCGTGTTTGCAAACAGGTGACGAAGCAACCATATCGCATCCCTTGTCTTCGATAACACTAAACGAGCAAAGGTCCAAAGTAG